TTCAGCAGGCGATGGAAACCTTGCAGCTGCATCAAAAACTCTGCTTCACCATGCACACAAGCAAATCCGTATTATGCTTTGTGAAACCTCGCAAAACAAAGTTAAAGCAGTTCATGTGAGTAAACAGATTAAAAAGGCAGGATGTGGACAAACGTCCATAAAACAGAGGTGGAATATGAACAAATATTTATGAATTTAACCAGAATAGCTGAACTAAACTTAGAGCAAGTGACTGAACTCTCCTGTTCTTGTAAACTCTTCAGCAAAGAGGCTCTAATCTGGGACTGGTAAAGCTGCATGGAGCAGGAGAGCTGTGGAGGGACTATTGGCAAGGGAACTTGGACTAACAGTGGGGATAGAGTTGATTTTTTCGGTTGGTTGGCCAAAGAAAACATAATTTTGTTTTGGGTCAAACAAGAGATTTTTCCTTTAATTTGAGGAAGATTAAAAAACATCCAAATCAAACTTGGAAAAAGTACACATTTTGCAATCCAACTGTTTCATCTTCAGGATGGCTGGGGCTCGGGCTTTTAAATCCAACTTTCTCCCCCTGGCAGGAAAACCCATACGGCTGTGAAACATCCTCTTCCCCTCCACACCAAAGAAGGTCCCAAAAGAGCTTTGCCCAGCTCTGGTCGCACTACTAGCGAAAGACGACAACTGCAGACAGATCTTTTTTGATTGCATTACCTTAATTTCATTTTAATGAAGAAATTGGATGTTTATACGAGAGATGATAGAAGTAACTGCTTAAAGACGCACGTAGGCAGCTTTTGATCGCAAATCAGACAAACAGGATGAAGACCAAAGCTTCCAAGGAAGCCACCCCTAGGAGGGGGTGCAAAATGTTGACTTGTTTGTATTTGTGCTTGCTGGGAGATGCGTAACAGCTTGTGCTTTCATCTGGAGAATTAAAGGCTCCTCGTCCTGGCTGGTAAGCCGGACATGTTTGCAGACTGCAGGGTAAGGGCTGTAGTAAGAGGAGAGCCAAGCGTGCGACTGTGTCCCAAAAGCTCAGCAGAGGATTTTGTGATCACTCACCTTGCAAATGCACCCTTTGGCAGGCAGGCACTAGTTTTAAGGGGCAGTAAATGCCTTGGTTCTATTGATCCTCATGAATCATTCATCATACGCTGTGTTTTCCTGCTAAAGCTGTTAAAACAGGCACCATTTTGTGTGCATTTGTTGGCAGGCCAGGTGTGGCTGTTACCAGCATGGGAGGATCAGACTTGGAGCCGTTCACGTACCTCGACGAGGACCCACCTTCCCCTTTTATTCTTGACACCCGACCACATGCCATTTCAAGATCAAAAGTGCCGTAGGTTTTTTTTTAACATACATCAAGGGTTAAAAAGAGTCTTTGGAGCCCTGCCACACAGAACCACTTTCACACGCCAGCAACAAAGATTTAACAGCTTTTTGCCAGAAGGGTTGGCACGCTTTCCAGCCAGGAGCCTACTATTCCCAATTACTTAACTCCAGGAGCCTCCTTCGCTGCCGAATTAGAAACGATGCCCTTCCAAAGCAGATGGTGCCGCTTATACTTTCGTACCAAGTCATTCCCTTTGCCTTTTGTTACTGCCACTATCCTCGCTTTGCACACTGCAGCTATTTAAAAAACAATGCTCTCCCTTGAGCTGAGGCTGCCGATATTTGCCAAACAGTTGTCTTCTACACCCGGGAAAAGGGATTCCTGTGCAGGCGAGGAGAAAGGGAAGAGGCACGGCAACGCGGATTCCCAAACGCACTGGGATAGCATGAGATAGGAGGTATCCAGTTCTCTGCGTTACTCTGACCGCTGCACAGCGAGTGCCATCGCAGCTGTGCACATTTCTGGGATCCCTCCCAAGACGCGTTGGCCATGGGGAGCTGCAAACCCATAGGCAGCTCTGCCTGCCCGTTCCAGTGCACCCTGTGAAGGAGATGTCCCCCCCATGGCTTTCTAACTCCGAGTGTCACCTGGTGCTGCTTCTGACCAAGCCGTGTCCTCTCCAAAACAGAGGCAGGGGAAAAATGGACAATACATGTGCCATTAGCAGAACTCGATGCGACTTCTCCTCTTGTTGTACCCAATACAATGGCACATTGTTGGCAATTACAGGAACCCATGTTGGACTGCTTTGCACAAAAGCAGGGAGAAAGCCCACGGTTCAGAGAAAGGCAACTGCTCCAGAGCCTTAACTGAGGTCACAGCTCTCGCCCAAGAAAAGAAAAGAAAAGAGATGTTTTAAAATTTTTACTCTTATTCAAATTTAACTCGCTTGGTTGCTGAGGGTTTTGCACATCTCGCATGATGACAATTCTGATCTCTACAATTTCCACAGGGGGTTCTTTTCTTTTAGAAACAGCTTTTTGTTTGATAAAGATATATACTCTGCCATTACCATATTAATTAACCTAAACAGACAGTAAGATGGCTGATTGTTTGCAACCAGCCTAGATTATTTCTGTTATAAGAGCAGCACTTGGCACCAAGACCGGCTACCGCAATATAAGGCAGCGCCTAAACCCACACAGAGAGGGAACAAGTCCTTCCCAGCACTGAAATCTTCTACTCCAAACCTAACAGCCGAGAAGCAAGTCAGTCCACTAAAACCAAGACCCTGCCCAACTCTTCCTCCAGCGCCTTGTCCACTAGCAAACCCTGGCTTACTAGCGTAGGGGTACCTGATGTGGGAAAGCACGTTTTGTTTTAGTTTTAGCAGCTTTTCAGTTAAATTCATTGTTTCTGGACGGTGACAGACTCCATGTTTCTCCTGCCTTTCCTCAGCCCACTCCTCCTCGCAGGCAGGTACAGCTAACACAGCTCACGCTTTTGGTGCAAGGGGCGGCGTGCTTGCAGAAGCCTTGGCATCAGCGAGCAGCTCCAAACCAGGCACGGATGCAGGAGATTAAGTATCTGCTGCCTGTTACATCTGCCCGAGCTTGGCAGGCAGCCTGGGACAGTCCATTAATGCGCCGGGCTGGGACGGCGGAGAGGAGGATGTGATGGAGAGGGTGTTTAATCGCACACTGTAATCTCCTCACTGTACATCTGTTAGAGGTAGTGGCTCCGTTTCCTCTCACTGGCTGCCAGGAAGCAGCCGGGATTAACACAAACATGTTTGGGTTCAGGAGGATCTTTTGTTCCCAGGGTCAGCGGTGCGGATACGCAGCTTTCCGTGCTCAGGGCCAGCCTGGCTAAGGGTGGCCGGTTTGCTTTTAGCACGGGCATTGCAATCCTTAAACGTCCTTGTTAATTGTCCCAGAACCTAGTGAAGGTAGAAGGGAGCGTTTTATGGGAACCTACCACCTTCCTCAGCACTTCCACTGGTACTTGCAGCGGATGCTACAGTTTTAAAACACAGCCTAAACTTTTTCCCCCCCACTCTGCCATCTACCAAAAATAACTCTCCAAGGTCCAGCCCACATATCAGTGGGGGGAAAAACCCAAATAATCAACTTCTCCCTGCCAGTCCCCATGTCCTTTTGGCTACAATCAGGCTGTTGTACGCACTGCCGGCAATGTAGATGCACCAGCTTTCCTGGTTTCAACCCAAACAAATGCCACATGGACAAAAACATCAGATGATACACACAGATCACT